CCTTCATCAGAAAATGATGAAGGGTCTAGGCCCGAAACGTCAGCCTTCCTGCTCCTATGATGCTGCTTGGCCTGCTGTGTTCATCCAGCCCTGCACCTTGTTGTCTCGGATTCTCCAGCATCTGCAGTTCCTACTATCTCTGTTTTTGATGGAATTGGTCGAGGTATTGCAGATCAGGGCAGAGGAACAACCTCCTCTTCAAATGAACAGTGCATGAACTTTTAAATATTAAACTGAACAGATAAATAGGGCCTTGCTCTCATTTGGAGGATGACACCTCTGCCAATGTGACCGCTCCTCATTACGGCACTGGAGTGTTGGGTTTGACTGTATGCAGGGTATGTCATATACAGGGCAAAGGAGAAGGAGAGTAATTGATTGAAAGCTGAAATGCAAGACTTATGAAAATAAGCTACAAGGACTTTGTGCCTTAAGCTGTTAGTTTAGCCATATTGGAAAATATACAGTATCAGAGTTGAAACCCCCTTGGGGAATCCATTGTGTCCATCACTAACTTAATCTTTTACAAAAGAGCATGGGTTAGCTCAGCTGGAAAATGCTGACAATTTAATGCTAAAATTTACAGACTTCAGTTTCAGACAATAAAGAAATAAATTAGTTGATTTAGAGAAAGGAAAAAATGGAAATATTAGATTTTGTTTTGTGACAGTGGTCATTCTCCTACATTCAGTTCCCCAGTTGCTCCAATTTACTGAGACTTTAATATTTTTTCAACCCAATTCAGACATTGAAGCCTTACCAACCTCTCAGCTTTACATAGACACTACAACGCTCCCCAGATACAGATATTGCAATTCTGCCTCCCTCTCTTTCTCTACATCTGGTTCACTCATGCTCTTTTAAGGAAGGAAATCTGCTATCCTTACCTGGCTTGGTTCACTTGTGATTCCAGACCCAGAGCAATGTGGTTGACTCTTAACTGCCCTCTGGAATGGTCTAACAGATCACTCAGTTCAAGGGCAATTAGGAGTGGGCAACAAATGCTGGCCCAGCTAACAATGCTCACATCCCATGAAAGAATAACAAATTCCCATCTCTCTCCTCACTCCTTTATTCCCCATTCCCTCTCTCTTTCATTCCCAACTATCTCCCATCCTTTCCACCTATACTGTCTATCTCCTGTCTCAGTGCTATCTGAGGCAAGTGGAAATTACTCTCCTCACTGTGCTCTTTGATCGGAGCTCCTGCACTCTCCAACTTTCCAGTTAATTGATTCAGCGATTGAATTCCTTTAATTTACAGCAAGTACTTGAGGTGGGGACAGCATTATGGGGATAGTAGGTCTGATCATCCTGATCACGTCTGCAAGTATTTATGTCTATAGTGAATCATCAAAGCAGCAGCTGTCAGCATGAAATATGAAAAAGCATGCATCTCTGAGAGGTCTACCGATTTGACTGTTGAATTATTTTTCATTAACTCGTTTAGATCTGTTACAATACACCTCCAGGGCAGGTAAGATTTGAATCCCAAGGTTCAGGCTCAGTGGTAGTGATGCTACCACCATTTCACAAGACTCGTAACTTGACACTTTATCCTTGCTACAATCTTGTGATAATTCTACAGGGCTGTACCTCAGAGGAATTGCTCCTGGCCTTGGCAGTGCCCAGGACCGCCTTCTCTTGGTTTGCTGGCACTTCCGATGGCCAGGCTTTGAGGTCTTGTCTAGTTTCGAAGATCTGATTGTACTGCATGATGAGGAAGTCTACAACCTGAGCCTGATACCCAGAGTTAACCAGAGAAATCATCGAAGCCGTGTCTTCATTAGCTGGAAGTCTTATCAGTGTGGGGCCAAAGATTATTCCCAGGTTGTTGGACGACATCTTGTTTTCTTCACATTGTTCTGTCACTCTGCAAGAGGAAGAGAGATCTACCTTGAACTAATTGGGACAATAGTTTACACACCCTTCCTAGTGGTACAACTGAGGCCGGGGAATGCACTATCACTTTGGCCCCATTACTTAACAGGGCACAAGCTAAAATGAACATACTTTTTCCAGTTACCAAGATGGTCAACTAAATACCTTATCAATATCAGGTTTTAAACAAAAACGACCTAATAAACACAATTATTGAAATTTTAAAAAGTGCTGAAAAGTCAACTGATCCTATAGCATTAGTGGAGAGAGATATGGAGTTAGTGTTTCAAATCCAATATGACTCTTCTTCAGAGTTCTGAAGACATAGTATTGGATTTGAAGCAAAAACTGTTTCTCTCTGCACAGATGTTGCCAGATGTTCGGAGTTTCTCTGATACTTTCTGTTTTTATTTCAGATTTGCTTTTAAACACCATTATTAGTTAGTCATCAAAGCCAAACTTATTTCATGAAGTTACCAATAATTAGTAATATACACAGTCAGTAATAGAAGTATAAATGTTTTCTCTCTAAATATTCCCAAAACATATGCAAAAGTAACATTTCAGAAAACAGGGGAAAAAAGATTTCTTTGCAGAGATTGGCTTTCTGAAAACAATACACCTTGGCCAATGGGTTATTTTTGAAGGCAAAAGGGTCAAAAGTTAAGTGTAGAATGTTCCAAAGTCTGATGTTCTGGCATGTCTAATCAAATCACTAATTAGACACAGTTTTCTCTGGAGTCTTAGTAGACAAAGCTTGCTCAAAAAATGCAATATTGAGATGTTCCTTCAATCATTTCCTCAGAAGAACAGATAGGTTTCACCCTGAACTTACCAGGTACGTTTTCAGAAAAGAAGTGATCAGCTAGTCAGCCCTTCCATATAACCTTCTTGATCCTCAGCTGAAGGTCAGATAAAAGCAAGAAACTGTCCTAGCCAGTCACTGTTCAAACAGCTCCAGCAGTGGTCTATAGCAAAGCAAGCAGTTATCACCATTCATGTGACTTCTAGTAAGCCATGTTTGAAAAAAACTCCAACGTCCACAATGACCTTTCAATGATGTTTTAAAGAAACCACTCTAGGTATTTCCACAACACTTTGAAAATATCTATTTTTCCGTAATCCTTCTAAACTTAAGTCCTCCAAGAAATATTGAATATTAAGCATCTTCGTAACACCTGCAAGAGCACCCAGGGAGGAGTCAATGACTACCAGCTGCCATCTGCTGTCTCACCAAAGTGGCTACTCCTGGTGTGGGAGCACAGTGAATGGTTGACCTTAACAGTCCTCACATTGAAGCTTGAAACCCTACACTTAGGTAGAGGGCAGCTTTCCATTAGGAGGCAATAGATTATGCTAACAGTATCCTGCTGCCCCACAATGCAGATGGTATTCCATTGTCTTCCCCACCTGCTCCCACCCTTCCAACAAACCAGCTGAGACCAGATAGCTTGGCATATGATATACTTTACTCGAGTCTGGGAAAGCTCGGAATGTGAAAGTTCTTACTGAGCGTGAGCATCCTGGGCTCACTCACATCAAGCAAGTTGACAAAGATACCAACTCTCAATAACCCAAATCTTCTTGTGAATCAAGTCTCAACTAATACAGACCTTCCCGGGCTAGTTACAGGCCTAAAGAAAAATTCTTTACCCATTTGGACTTCCAAACACTTCCATCTGGCCCAACCATCACTAATCTGTCCTTCCACTTTGGATGTTTCTTTATTCTTTTGTGTGTATCACTGAGTTGCTGCCCAACCTTGAACCAAGGCCAGTGAAGAATCAACTGTATTGCTGTGGGTCTGGAGTCACATCCAGGCCAGACAGGGTAAGGATGGCAGATGTTCCTGACCCAGATAGGTTTTTACAACGATCGATAGTCGCCACTACTGACACTAGCTTTATACTTCAGATTTAACAACTGAATTTAAATTCCACTAGCTTCTTTGTTGGAGATTAGACCCAAATTCCCAGAGTATTAGCCTGGCCCTCTGGGTTGTTAATTTAGTGACATTACCATGACATCACCTTTTCCCCAGATATGTTGAGTCTTAGCATCATATAGATCTTTCACCATTCCCAACTATCCCCAATGGCGGCAAGACTGAGATGAGAAATTGATATCATGGAATAGCTTCTGGTATCACAATGTATTCATACAGTCTTGCCTAGGTTCCCAGGCACCGTGCTCAATATGCAAGATCTTTCAGTAACTTCCCAGGTTCTACAGAAGTTGTTTGCAGTGGAATATGGGGTTCAATAGGTACCAGATAGTGACTGCATAATGAGCGAGCCGGGACAGCGGCTATTATAGGTAGACAACCATGGGAACTAAACCTGAATGCCATGTTTGTTGGCCCAAGCCCAATTAGAGACAGCTACACAGCATGTGCTTTGATTAACATGTGATAGGTCTAGGCAAGGTTGGCAGGCTCCCATTCTTCATGGGCATTAGGGAACCAGTTACTCTAGTAGAATTGGAACTCAGCATCCAAACTTCACCAGCACTATAGACAATAACATGACTAGCTCCACTACTACCATCTGATTTGGACATCTGTATCAATCCTGGGCCTACCTGTGGAGATGCCCAATGATGTGTTCCAGAGCATTGTAGTTGGCGACTGGTAGATTCTGTACCAAAACCTTGGCCTGCTGGATGAGCTGTGCCACTTTATCTGTTGGCGCAGACACTCCCTTGGCCTGGCTGTCCTTCAACTCTTCAGAGGCCTGGTGCAACTCTTTCGCAAAGTTCATAAAGTCATTGTAGAGGCTGAAGAGAACAATCGACTCGGGAAGCTTGAAGTAAAATATAAACATGAAATTTTCATCAAATCAGAGAATGGCTACGGTACAGAAAGATGCCAGTCAGCCCATCACATTCATACTGGCTCTCAGCAACAGCCCAATCCCATCCTGCATCCTTTTCCCCAGAACCTTGCAAATGTTCTTCTTTTAGGTTAATTACCCAATTCTTTCTGAAAGTCTTCAACTGAGTCTGCCTCCACCACGTATTGCAGATCTGAACCATATACTGCATGGAGAAGATGTCCCTCATGTCACCATTGGCTTAAATCAGTGCCCTCTCGTTCTTGACCCCTCCACCCAATGGAAACAATCCCTAGCTGTCTACTCAGTATAGATATTTCATTGCCGCTAGCAAATATCCTCTTAATCTTCTTTTCTCCAAGGACAATAGCTCCAGTTTCTCCAGTCTATCAATGTAACTGAACTCCCTTGTCTCAGGAATTCATATGAATCTTTTCTGCACCCTCTCTATAATGCCTTTGCATCCTTCCTCAAGGTTTGGTGCCCGCAACTGGATATAGTACTCCTGTTTCTTGATTTTTCAGTGTCTTTCTAGCCCTCCCTGCCCAATATTGCAGCTAAGTTACTTACTAAGGTACCATGTGGGCCTAGACTGTGTCAGGCAGACAGTTGCCTGTACAAATGAGAGTCATCATGGTTCATCCAAATCTTTTCCAACTCTTCCAGTAGCAGTTTATGTTAAGGTGACTCCTTCCTCCACAAAAACAGCCTCCCCAACACCCTGCTCCCATACCATCACCCTCATAACTTGTAAAGCTAAAGGTATTGCCGAGGCTGAGGTCAGGCTTTGGTATCATTGACTTGGTACAGCTAATGACCCAAGGGCTTTTCAGATCTGTAGGCTCAGTATTCCCAAAGGACTATAGAAGGTATGCTAATGTCACCCATTTTACCTTGAATTGCAGAATATCACCTATCCTATTTATTTACTTTTCTCTCATTCATTTGCCATTGGCTTGAGTTAGTGGGAGCATGCCCAAAACTATAACTTTCCCACAGCCACTCCTCCATGTAGCAGAGAATCTCAGGGGTTTCAATATAGTTTTATGTTCCCTGTCACCGTAGATTCCCAAGTGCCTCAATTTGTGGAAAGTGCACAACCTGGCAACAATACCTAGAATGGCCCTGCCCAAATCTCCGCCATCACAACCAAACGACCCAGTAAATAGTGATGATTTACCAGTGCTGTTGCAAGATCTGGGCTGTTCACCTGTGAAATTTCACAGTTGCTCCTGCCCTCATGTTTGCAGAGCTGGCGCTGTAACCCT